GCCCCGGGAGGGGATTTGGGGCAGCCCCGGGAGGGGATTTGGGGCAGCCCCGGGAGGGGATTTGGGGCAGCCCCGGGAGGGGATTTGGGGCAGCCGGGCTCCGGCAGCCCCGGGCGGGGCTGGGGCGAGGCGGAGCCGCCCCGGCCCCGGTCCCGGCCCCGATCCCCCCTGCCCGGCCCTGCGGCCGTGCCCGGCTTCCCGAGCAGCCCCAGGCTCGCAGGGCCGGGCGGTGGCACCCCCAGAGCATCTCCCTGCTCCTGGTCCCGCTGCGGGCACGGCACCGGCACGGCTGCCAGGAGCCCAGGGAAGGGCTGGTCCAGGGTCTGGGCACAGAGGAGAAATGTCCCTCGTGTCCCTCCTGCCAGCAGTGCCACCCTCCCCGGTGATGCCAGCGTCAGGGCAGGGAGATGCCTCGCTCTGCTGCGCCCAGCCCGGGGCTCGGCAGCATCCCCCGGCTCTGCCCTCGGGAGCCTGGCACCGCGGCGCCGGAGCATCCCCGGGGCAGCAGAGCTGTCCCCAGGCCGGCCGGGCTCTGCTGCACCCAGGGGACACTCGGGACACCGCTCCGGCCCTTGCCAGCCCTGCTCCTGGAGGGAAGGACTCAGCCAAGGTCACCCAGAAGGGCAGCGGCGAGCAGGGACCGCTCCAGAGCCCGGCAGAGCCCCGCTCTCTCCAGAGCAGCCGCCGGGAGCCCCGGGGCTCTTCTGGGGGCTCCTTGCTCTGCCCAGGTGTCACCTGCTCACCCTGCCACCCCCACGGACGCCCTCGGGTGTTTTCGCTGTGCGTGGCATCACCAGCTCTGCTCCCTTGGTGCCCGGGAGGGAGGAGGGGGCAGCCCTGCCCTCCCCGGGGACAGCCCAGCCCAGGGAGGGAGGGACGAGGGGCTGAGAGCCGGGCCGGGGCTTCGGGCAGCCTGGGTGGCTGCAGGGGATGGAGAGAGCCAGCAGGCACATCCCTGGGGGAGGCCGGGAGCGTGGCTGGCACCCTGACTGGCACCCCTGGCTGGCACCCTGACTGGCACCCTGACTGTCACCCCAGGCTGGCACCCCAGGCTGGCACCCCTGACTGGCACCCTGGCTGTCACCCTGACTGTCACCCCAGGCTGGCACCCCAGGCTGGCACCCCTGGTTGTCACCCTGGCTGTCTGGCACCCCTGGCTGGCACCCTGTGTGTCACCCCTGTGTGTCACCCCTGCCTGTCATCCCTGGCTGTCACCCCTGGCTGTCTGGCACCCCTGACTGTCACCCCTGTCACCTGCTGCCCCAGAGCAGGGAAAACCCGGCCCAGCCCGATGGTGACACCTCCCCTGCACAGGGGAGGACATTTGTCACCTCAGGGCCCAGGGCAGCGTGCCACCAGAGCAGGAACACTCCCCAGCAAAGCTCACTCAGCCCGGGCTCTCTCTGACTGCAAACAGAGGCTCAGGGCCACCTAAAAAATTGCAAATATGGGCCAGGGCACCTGGGCAGCCCCAGCTCCCCACAGCCCGGGGCTCCAGGCCCTGCGGCCACTCCAGCCCTGCACAGCACGGGTGTCACAGCTCCCTCCCGGCTCTCACAGCTCCCATGGACATCAAAAGCACCTCCCGGGCCCTCTCAGCTCACCAAAATCCCTCCTGGCATGAAATGACCCCAAAGAGCCTCAGCCCCAGGGTCCCTGAGCCGCGGGAAGGGGGAAGGTGGGGTCAGCCCCAGCCCTGCAAACACGCTGAATGCCCAAAACCACGGCACGAAGAACATCCAGAGCTCCTGGAACCCGTCCTGGGCCCTGCCCGCCGGGCCAGGGTCCCTCCGAGGGGAGAAGGGGACAAGGCACAGCAGGACAGAGCCCGGGCACGGCCCCCGCAGCGCCAGGAGCTCTCGGAGGGGCAGCCAGCCCTGCTGGCCGTGCCCCTGCCCCCAGAGCCCCCAGGACGTGGGCACAGCTGGGCACAGCTGGGCACAGCTGGGCACAGCTGGGGCTGCTGCCTGCCAGCCTCGCCAGGACCAGCAGCACGTGGGGACAGGGAGTCCCAAACTGGGAGCACTGGGAACGCTCCCGTGCCAGGGCAGTGGGATCCAGGCTGAGGAGGTGCCAGGGCAGCCCAGCAGGGCTCAGCTTCCCTGCCCAAGCAGAGGCAGCAGAGCTTGCCCAGCTCTGGGTGCCCTCCCACGGCCTGGGGGTGCTGCCACATCCCCTGGCACCGCTGGCACACGGAGCCAGCCCTCCCTGCCCACTGCCAGCACCTCTGGGACAGCTCCAGGGGCCAGAGCAGAGTCCAGCTCCTCCTGGAGCTCCCTCCAGGGCCGGGCACCCACACCCAGCCTGGGCGCTTGGACAATTCCACCCAAATCGGGTCCTCTCTGCTGCCCTGAGGAGAAGACAACCAGGAGAGGCGAGGAGAGGAGGGAAAACATTTCTGAATGAATTATTGGGTCTGACACTGCGACCCAGGCTGGGGCAGGAGGGAGATCATGAACTGCAGCAGCACATCGATCTTCCTTCATCCCAATCCCTCCTTCCCTTCCATTCCTGCACATCTCCTGCTTTTCCCCACTCCTCGCTGCACCACGCTGAGCTGCAGCCAGCTCCCTCCTCCCAGGACTCCCTCTGGCTCTTGGCAAATTAAGTTCTTCATCAGCGCTGACAAGAGGCTCCAGGACACAGCCCAGCCCCGGGCTGAGCTCAGGGCTCCTGGGCAGCTCACAGGGGACAGGGCAGGTCCAGCCACGGGGGCACAGCCCAGGGCACAGCTCAGCACCAGGGAGGGTTTGGGAATGTCCTGCTCAGGGAGGAGCAGCCCGGAGCCAGCAGCTCCTGAGCTGCTCCCACATACCTGAGGCAAGGGCTAAACTTTGCTTTTTTGCCTCCTCTCACGTCCAAACTCGGCAGTTGGGAAGGTTTTTTTGTGCACTTTCGAGGAAACGGGCCAGTGGTGTTTGTGGAGAGTGCCACGGCCAATTTATCTGCCTCAAGAGCATCTCTGCAGGCACAGAGGCAGAGCAGAGAGGAGCGGCCCTGCCACCTCCCCAGCCTTGGGGGACACTCAGCCAAGCCACCAGCGAGACCTGAGCCTCCTCAGCCACTCCAAACATCCCAGCCTGTGACCAGCAGCCCGTTTCCACCAGCACCGAACCAAACTGGTGGAAGGAGCAGAGGAAAACTCTCAAACCAGCAAAAAACATCAAGGAAAAAGCAGCTCCGAAAAAGCAAATCCTCGCCAAAGCCAAGTGGAAGATGCTGTGGAAGTTTTTTGCCCACAGCCTCTCAAAGAGGGAGATGCCCCAGGGGCTGAGGGCGCTGCCACCTCCCCCAGGCCTGGCAGCTCCTGGCCCTGGAGCTCTGCTGGAGCCTCCTCTGCCCTCCTGCCCCAGGAGGCTGAGGAGGAGCCATGGGGAGGAAGGCAAAGCATTTCCTCTTCAGCAAGCCCAGCACATCCCACTCCAGGGACAGGGGGGAGGTGACACCTGGAGACAGGACACAGCTGGCTCCAGGGGCAGCTCCGAGGGGAGCAGAGCCCAAACCTCAAGGCTGCATGTGGCAAGGGAGGGCTCTGCCAGCAGTCCCGGAGAGAAGGGAGAAATCCAGCTCCCCAGAGCTCAGCCTGGGCCTGAAGGGATTCCAGAGCAGGCAGAGCCCGGGTTCAAGCTGAGCACTTCAGGGATAACGCACGAGAGTGGTTTGGGAGGATGAAGCATTGCCAAGAGCCAGGTATTTGTCCAGGCATAAACTTGTGCACGGCAGAGGCAGCACTCCTGGCTCACCCAAAAGCTCAGCCCGGCCTCCTCGCTGTGCTGCGTCCAGGAGGAAAAGCCACAGGGAATTAAAATCTGATCGAAGATTGATCGCAAAGCCTCCAAGCAACTCTGTCCCAGGCGGCCACGTTCCAGCCTGGACAGGGATCCTCTCATTTCTCCAAACCCCATTCCATTGATGAGCCACACGACCACCACCAGCTGCAACACCCAGACCACAAACAGGCTGGGGAAACACCGCGGCCCGCCTGACAACAAAAGGCAAATTGACGAACGCTTAAATCCAAAGTTACTCGCTCTCCCAGGGCTCCCCGTGCCTGCACACAAAGGAAAATGCACTTCCAAGCCCACAGAAAACTCTTCTCCCAGAAAAAAAAACCAACCCCCACCACCCCCCCCCAATCCTCACCCTGCTCATGCAGGAGCTGCTGAGGAAGGTGAGACACAGCCAGAATGCAAAAATGGTAAAAAATGGTAGCCCAGCTGGCAGGCAGCAGCTGCCGGTCCCTGGTCACCTCCTCCCCGGGGAGCAGGGTGGGGAGGGCTGGGGCCAGGGGAGATGCTCTGCAGGTAACTCACCTTCCACAGTTGCAGTGACAAACTCGGTCCTCCCCTCTGAGATGCGGTAGGATGTAATTGTGAAATCTGTCCAACAACGCATTCATGTCCATCAAGCAAGCTATTGCCTGTAAGAGCCCACAACCAAGGCATCGGGTCAACTCTGGATGGTGGAATAAAACATTGACTCCAGTTTGATTGCCGGAGACTGAAGCAGTCATCAAGAAAAGAATGTTTGCTGCTGGCCGGGGCACACGCAGGCACACACACGGAGGTGCACAGGCTGAGGGACAGTGCGGGGGGAAGGTGGAAGGGAGGCGGGGGTGCGGGAGAAGGAGGAGGTGGTGGGGGGGGGAACCGTGGAGGGGAGGGAGATAAGCAAAAAATCTCTTACCATAACGATAGAGGCGCCCAGGATCATGAAAATCATGGTGTTTGCATTCATGGACATCAAGAGGGAATGGCCAGCGGTCGGGTCCGTGCGCCCCCAGCCCGCGGAGGGCGAGCGGCGGCCGCGCTATTCCGCAGAGCCGAGCGCGGGGCGCATCGCGCTCGCCGCCCGCACGCTGCGGTGCGGCGGGGGGCGGCGGGGCGGCGGGGCGCCCCCCGCGCACACACACGCACTCCCCCGTGCCGGGGATGCCGCGGGCTCCCGCGCCCTGCCCGCTTTATATTTTTATTATTCTAGGACGGATGAGACAGGTAAAAAAAAAAAAAAAAAAAAAAAAAAAAAAAAAAAAAAAAAAAAAAAAAAAAAAAAATTTAAAAAATAAATATTTTTTAAAAAAAATTATGAAAAAATAGAAAATAATAATAATAATAATAATAATTCCAGCCTCGCTGCTGGCCCCGCGCTCCCCCCGGCCGCGGTGGCGGCGGGTGCGCGGCTCCGGGAGCGGGCACACGCCGGTGCAAGCACAGCCTTCATGCAGCAACTGGGAAGCGAGGCAGCCAAACCCGGGGTGGGGGGGAGAGGCTGGGGGAGGAGGAGGCAGGCTGCAAAAAAATCACCCACGCCGGGGGAGCCTCATCGCATCCTCTCCGCCGACCCTCCCCAAAATCATCCCCGCTGCCGAGCGCTGCCAAATAAAAATCGGAAATAATAAAAAAAATATATCTATAAAAGACCCCAGCCCCCAAATCACCGCGCCCACCTTCACACTCCCCCACCCCAAAAAAAAAAATCGGCCCCACAAACCCTCCCGGCTCGGGGCTGCGCTGTCCCCGCCGGCAGCCCCCGGCCCGGCCCCGCTCGGGGGAGGGATGCGGGATGCAGGGGAGGGATGCGGGATGCAGCGAGGGGGAAGATGCGCCCCGGCAGCGCCGGCCGCCCCCTCCCCAGCCCGGGCATTTACCTACGTGGGGAGGCGCTGCTCCGGGAGCGGCTCATGGCGAGCGGCGGCTCCAGCTCTGCGGGCCGGCCCTGCGGGGCTCCCCCCGCGCCGCAGCCGCACGCCGAGCCCCGGCCGCGTTTCCAGTGCCACACGCCATCCTCACCCCGCCCTTCCTCCGCCCGGGGTCGGCCCCGGCCCCCGGGACCCTCCGCCCTCCCTCCCCGGGCCGGGGCTGCGAGCCCCGCGCTCCGCTCCGCATCGCTCCGCACCGCTCCGCATCGCTCCGCATCGCTCCGCACCGCTCCGCATCTCCTGCGCCGCCGCTGCCCGCACGGACCCTGCGGGGTCCCGGGGGCTCCCGAGGGACCAGCGGATCCCACCCGGCTGCAGATCCCCCCGGGACAGGCCGCGGTGGCGGCGGGACCCCGAACTTTGTCCCGTGTCTGTCCCCGGGGGAAGCGGCGCGCTGCGGTCCCCGCGGTCTGTTCCGCCGGGCCCGCGGCAGTCCCGCTCGGGCCGCGTTTAGGAGCTGCTGGGAGAACGCAAAGGGAAGAAAAGAAGAGAAAAGCGGCGGCCAGGCGGGAACTTTTCGCTTGTTTGGTTGTTTTGTTGTTGCTTTCACAGCAAACGGGGCGAGCCGGAGGAGCGGCCGCCACGTGGGAAATGCGTGGCAGCCGAGCTCGATGTCCCGCGGTGCCTTCCCCTCCCATCCTCAGCCTTCCTCACCGGCAGCTTCTCCTTGCTACAACCCAGGTGTTCCGCGGCTTTTTGGGCTTCCCGCGGTGACCAAAGCGGAGTTGGCTGGTGCTGGGTTTTGCATTTTTGCAAATTTGTTTCCCTCCTGCTCCTCAGGCCACGATCAGCCTTCTTATGTAATGACTGGTGTTATATAAACTCCATTCTTCAAGGAACAGTCATTAACCTACTACTGGGTATTGAAAATACCAAAATACTGTCACACAATTAAAAGCACTAAATGGTGTCCTCAAATTAGAGCACAGATTGCATTGCAGATTTTTTTTTAAATTTTTTGTTTTGTTTTGTTTTAATGAAACCACACACATGAAACATTTGAGGAGCCTGGCTCTTCATGCAGAGGAGCAGCAGGGCTGGGAAGGCACCTCTTGCTTTATCCTGCTCTGCCCTGAGCCACTTCCCCTTTTTCCTGAGCTCAGAAGTGGATTCTGCCATGGAAATGCAGAGCTCAGGGAGGGTACAGCTGCTTACTCTGCCAGTTGTGGAAAACAAAAGCGTCTCTAAAGTCTCAGCTGAATAAAACCACATGAGGGAACAGTTTGAAGACAAGTCTGAGGGAATTTTGTGGAACTGAAGTTTTGCCAGCCCTCCCACAAACCAGGCTGGGTCAGTCTCACCTGCGCTCGAGGCACTGGGGAGAGATTTTGTCATTGGCTCAGGTAAAAAGCCATTTCCTTCCCTGTGCTTCTGGAGTAAAAGTCCCCCAAAAATCCCTGTTGTGGTCAGTCCTGGCTGCTGGGGATCCCAAACATCCCTGTCCTGATCAATCCTGGCTTCTGAGAGATCCCAAACATCCCTGTGCTGATCAATCCTGGCTGCTGAGGATCCCAAATATCCCTGTGCTGATCAATCCTGGCTGCTGAGGATCCCAAATATCCCTGTGCTGA